ACGCGTTGCCGCCGCCGCCGCCGCCGCCTCCGCCTCCGCTGCTGCTGCTGCTGCTGCTGCTGCTGCTGCTGCTGCTGCTTGCCTGGACTTGAGGGGCGCAGTGATGCGAGTGGGGTTTGCTGCCAGCAGCACGAATTGGAGACAGCCAAAATTTGTCTCCAAAGAGCGCCGTAGCGCGTGCTGCGCGGCTTCGCCCAACACGTCTGCGTCTTGCAAAACCACCACTGCGCGCAAACCCTAAACCCTAAACCCTAAACCCTAAACCCTAAACCCTAAACCCTGGGTGGGGGTCCTGGGACGAAGCCCAGGACGCGGAAACATGAAGTCTCTTGTGGGCACAGTCCGCAAGGAGACAACGAGCGACCGAGGAACGCAGAAAGAACCCTAAACCCTAAACCCTAAACCCTTAACCCTAAACCCTAAATCCTTAACCCTAAACCCTTCCCAGCAGCAGCAGTGGATGGCCACCGCTGGGTCGAATCAACCCTAAACCCTAGACCCTAAACCCTAGACCCTCTGGGGAACCAGGTGTTCGAGCCCAGCTTCGCGGTCCGTCTCCAACCCCCCCACCCAAACCCTAAACCCTAAACCCTAAACCCTAAACCCTACCTTTAAACCTCTTTTGCCGCTTCGCAGTTGAAAAGAAACTGGAGGCGAGAGCAGCCTGAGGCGCTGCCTCCACTAAACCCTTAATGACCGCCTGCACTATGGCTTTGTCTCTCAGCCCGAACTCCGTGCAGGACACTGCGCGAAACCCTAAACCCTAAACCCTAAACCCTAAACCCTAGACCCTGGGCCTAGGGGCTGAAGTCGAAGAGGCACAGGGCCAGCGGCCGCGAAAACGCATTCAGGGGGAGAAGGCAGCCAGCAGCAGGCAGCTAAAAAGCACCAAACCCTAAACCCCAAACCCTAAACCCTACACCCTAAACCCTAAACCCTCACGAATGGTGTGGCAGCTGGACTGGCATAATGTCGCCTCCGCATTGCTCTCCTTTTCCACGAACGTCTCAACTCGAACCTGCAGCGCTCATCAGACCCTAAACCCTAAACCCTAAACCCTAAGCCCTCGTGTCCCTAGTCAGCTTCCTCCCCAAAGCCAGCTGCTGCGAGCTCTACTTTAAATCCACTTTCATTTTTATATATGTATATAAATACATTTATGTATATATATATCTATACATTTATTATATGGATATATAATATGTAAATATATAATATATATATACGCGTACAACCTTACACATTTTTACATTTAAATAATATTTATTTATAAAAGCCTCCACTGATTTTATTTGTCTTTCTTTTAAGTTCAAAAGGCCCAAAGAAAAACCCACAGGGGCCCCCTAGCCACTTCCCGAGGGGCCCCCAGTGACCCCTATAAGACCCAGTGGGCCCCCAAGAAGCACCTGGGGGCCCCCTTGGGGCCCCTGTGGGGCCCCTTCTAAAGCCCTTGTGGGGCCCCTTTTGGGACCCCAGTGGGGCCCCCAAAAGGGACCCGACAGGGCCCCAGTGGGGCCCCTGTGGGGCCCCCTACGGGGACTCTGGACCCCCTGTGGGTCCCCTGGGGGCCCCTCTGGGGCCCCAGGGCCCCCCTTTGGGAAAGATGGGGGGCCCCCTGTTGCATGCACCCAAATATATATAGGGTACTAACAGTGATGGACTATTTATGTTTATGGAATATATATATATATACATATACATGATATATATATGTATATATGCAAATGTATGTCTATATGTTTTTACATATAGGTATATATTTACTTGTAGCTTGAGCCCCAAACCCTAAACCCTAAACCCTCGCCTGCCCTGTCTATTTGCTGCCAAACGCTTCTCGCCCCCTAAACCCTAAACCCTAAACCCCCACGCACCCTGCCTGCCTCCTCCGTAACGCTTCTCGCCCCCCAAACCCTAAACCCTAAACCCTAAACCCTAAACCCTAAACCCTAAACCCTCGCGCACCTTGTCGACTTCTTCGCCAAACACTTCCCGCAGCAAGGCCAAAACCCTCGTTTTCTTGCCAGCCCCGCTGGGCCCATAAAGCAGCAGGTGGGGCGGGGCCTCGCTGGCTGCGAGCTAGGGTTTACACACGTCCCACACCAAACCCTAAACCCTAAACCCTAAACCCTAAACCCTAGACCCTTGGGGTTGGTGCAGGCAGCGGGGGTGCAAACTCGGGCAATAAACCGTCACGCGCGCATCAAACTCAGGCTGGGAGAGGACTCAGGGGTTGCGAAGGGAAGACTAGGGTTTAGGGTTTAGGGTTTAGGGTTTAGCGTTTGGACACACGCTGCGGAAAAGGGGAGTGAGGTGTTTGTGGCACTCCAAGTCGTCGAGGCACCGCGGCGCGTGCTTGTCGACCCACAACATCCTGCCTAAACCCTAAACCCTAAACCCTAAACCCTAAACCCTAAACCCTACAAGATGCAGCTGGCCCGCCACCTTCTCTGGGGCTCCGCGGCGGTCACCGCAGTCTCCGCAGCTCAAATTAATAGGAAGAAAATGCCACCAACGCTGCTGCTGCTGCTGCTGCTGCTGCTACTTCTGCTCTGCTGCTGCTGCTGCTGCTGCTGCAGTTGCTGCTGGGTAATCTCAAGGCGCGTACCTAGCAGCTGCAGCAGCAGCAGGAGCTGCAGCTCTTAACAATGGCAAGCTTTTTGACTAATACTTTATTGCTGCTGCTGAGCTTCCTAACTGCTACTGCTGCTGCTGCTGCCGTTTCTGCTGCATGCGGGGGGTGTTGCGGTCGGTGGTCTCTGAAGCTGTCTAAACCCTTAAGAAGAATTTATAAACCCTAGGCCCTTTTCTGAGGCATTTAAGAGTATTAAACCCTAAACCTCAAACCCTCAAACGTAAACCCGAAACCCTAAACCCTCTCCCCCGTCATCAGCTTGACCCTTGTCTTGGGGAGGTCGCGTTGCCCAGCCTTGGAGCTGCCATACACACCCCTCAGACCCTAAACCCTAAACCCTAAACCCTAAACCTTGAACGGTTTGCCCAAAACCCTAAACCCTAAACTCTAAACCCTAAAGCCTAGACGCACTTCAAACCCTAGCAAGAGATGGAGAGGGAGGCGTCCCCTGCTGCTGACGGCCGGCCGGTAAAGCTGCAGAAAATCGAAGAAGCAGCAGCAGCAGCAGCAGCATCTGAAGCGGAGCCAGCAGCAGCAGCAGCAGGGGACAGCCCGGGCCGCGGCAGCAGCAGCAGCGACGCCCCTGCTGCTGCTGCTGCTGCTGCTGCTGCTGGCGAGACTGACTGCAGCAGCCCGCGCAGCCCTCGCAAAGACGCCTCCCCGCGCCGCAGCAGCAGCAGCAGCAACGGCAGCAGCAGCAGCAGCAGCAAAGAAGTGGAAGCAGCATGGGCTGAGACAGAATATAAAAACTGGAAAGTAAATGCTCAAGTGCTTTATGATGTGCTGCTGTGTGTCCCTTTGGAGTGGCCCGCCCTCACCGTGCAGTGGCTCCCAGGCCTTACGCCGTGCGGCCCAAACCCTAAACCCTAAACCCTAAACCCTAGGCCCTTGGTGTCTGACGAGAGATTGCTGCAGAGGGGGCTGATTGCACCAGCGGGAGGTTGCTTGGCTGCTCTGTAGGCGAGGGCGTAATTTACGGTTTAGGACTTAGGGTTTGGGGTCTAGGGTTTAGGGTTTAGGGTTTAGGGTTTAGGGTTTGTTGGTGCAGCTGCTCTAGCTCGTCCGTGGTGAAGCAGCGGCTGCTGACGGCGACCCACACAAACGGCGCGGAAGATGACGCGCTGCTGGTGCTGCAGGCAAGTGAGGGTTTAGGGTTTAGGGTTTAGGGTTTAGGGTTTAGGGTTTAGGGTTTAGGGTGGAGGGTGTGGGGCTCGGGGCCAGAACTTGGGGTTCAGAAGGATTTGGCCTCGTAGAGTACGACAGAGATCTAGGGTCCAGGGTTTGGATATTTGCGGCAGCTAGGAGGGTTTATGCTTTAGGGTTTAGGGTTTAGGGTTTGGGGTTTAGGGTTTGTGATTCAGGTGGAGCTGCCTGTTGGCCCCTTTGACGACACGCAAACAAATGAATACAAAGAAAGAGGCGGTCAGACTGCAAACCCTAAACCCTAGGCTGCCGGCTTTCCCCGAGGATCAAGGGTTTAGGGTTTAGGGTTTAGAGTTTAGGGTTTAGGGTTTGGGGTTTGTGGCGCAGACTACGAGGGTTTCCACTACGGCCTCTCTTCTTACAAAACAAAAGTGGTCAAGAGGCTTCCTCATCCTCAGGAGTCCAACTGGTGACCTTAAACCCTAAACCCTAAAACCTAAACCCTTGTTTTGCCAGAATGCGGTGCCTCCTGCACTTGGGTTCCAGAATTAGGGTTTAGGGTTTAGGGTTTAGGGTTTATGGTTGTGCAGCGCACGGTACATGCCCCAGCAGCCGTCTATAGTTGCAAGCTGCGCCGTCGACGGCAGAGGTCTGATTTCTAAACCCTTATTTCTAAACCCTAAACCCTAAACCCTAGGTGCAAGCTTCACCGTACTCAGCAGTTGCTGGCTCTACGCTGGACGGCCAGGTCGAGGGTTTAGGGTTGAGGGTTTAGGGTTTAGGGTTTGCGTCTTCGCAGTTCTGCTATATGATCTGGAAGCCCCCGGTATCTGCGAGGGGCCCGAAGCGAGTCTAATTGGAAACAAAGGCGAAGCGTGGGTTTAGGGTTTAGGGTTTAGGGTTTAGGGTTTAGGGTTTAGGGTTTAGGGTTTGGGGT